TGTACCCTGTCTGAAAGGAAGTAACGCTAGAGTAGACTCGCGAAAAGTGTATAAGACACTTTTAAGATCAACTAAATAGCTAAGCCCAAGGGAAGTCGTTCGGGGAGGCCCTCCCTAATTCCACAAGGGTGAGAAGAAACAAACACGATAACGAAACGTTGAATCATGTAGAACTCGTAGGGTAAATGCAAAGCAATTTATAGTAAGAATATGCAGTAAGCTAAGCGAAGAGGTAAGCAAGGTTAAACTATACTACAACTACTAAACGTGTTATTTGTACTAGTACACTACTACATATAAAAAAAAATAAAAACATCTACAATCAACAATTACTTCAAATAAAATGAACAAAAATATTCATGCAAAATAAAAAATTAATTTGAATAAAATGAACTTAATGAATTCTACTAGATAGAGCATGCAAGATAGAGAACTATTTTAACTACGGGGTCATCTTTGTCTTCTCCAACGTCGACCTGAAACAGATACGGTGGTAACAGATTAATAAAGAGCAATTAAAATTAATTATATCAAGTATTCTCACCTTAATTAACTGTAGACTGTAATGTTCCAAAGTTTGCAGGTGTGAAATGCAAATGCAGAAAATTTGTTATTTCAGTGGATTTCAAATAAATATCCAGTTGCTCCCACTCATCAGTTCAAAACTAACTGCATAATAATGTAGAGTGAAGACGAAAACAGCAAATCAAGAATATAGTTCACCAAAGACCACACCCATGTAGACAATGGTTGTTTTAGTACGACCAAATTGAACTTTCAACTCCCTCTTATTTGTTGAACGATCTGCAGAAATGGGTAAAAAAAACATTAATTACACTACTAATTAAGGAAGAGATTAAACACACCTAAAAACACGCATCAAAAACCAAGTAAATACGCTGAATTATAAAATGGCGACAAGCGTCAAGTTTACATGAGAGACCAAATTTGACATTATAAATGTGAAGTAATCACAGATGCACATAACATTAATTTATAATGTAGACAGTAGATAACTATTAAAATTCCACAGATGCACCAGTCAATTTTAACTGTAAACAATAGGTAAATGTTAAACGACATACCATAGATGCTGTGGACTATAGAAGTTTAAAATACTATACATGCGTCACAACATCAATCTATATTCTGGCCACAGATAAGTTTAAAAGAAATGCCACTATAGATTAATAAAGAACAATTAAAATTAATTATATCAAGTATTCTCACCTTAATTAACTGTAGACTGCAATGTTCCAAAGTTTGCAGGTGTGAAAAGCAAACCAAATCCAGGAGTAATGCAAATGCAGAAAATTTGTTATTTCAGTGGAATTCAAATAAATATCCAGTTGCTCCCACTCATCAGTTCAAAACTAACTGCATAATGCTGCAAACCGAAGACGAAAACAACAAATCAAGAATATAGTTCACCAAAGACCACACCCATGTAGACGATTGTAGTTTCAGTAGAACCAAACTGAATTTAACTCCCTCTCATTTGTTGAATGATCTGTAGAAATGGGCAAAAAACATATTAATTACACTACTAATTAGGGAAGAGATTAAACACACCTAAAAACACGCACCAAAACCCAAGTAAAACAGCTGAATTATAAAACGGCGACAAGCGTCAGGTTTACATGACAGACCAAATTTGACATATAAATGTGAATAATCATAGATGCACATAACATTAATTTATAATGAAAACAATAGATAATTCTTAAAATTCCACAGATGCGCCAGTCAATTTTAACTGTAAACAATAAGTAAATGTTAACGACATACCATAGATGCTGTGGACTATAGATATTTAATATACTATACATACGCCACAACATCAATCTATACTTTGACCAATAGATAACAGTTTAAAAGAGATGTCACTACAGATTAATAAAGAGCAATTAATATTAATTACGCCTCGTTTTCTCACCTTGACTAACTGTAGAA